ACATTCTATCTGAGAACCAAAAAAATGGGAAGAAGCCTGCAGAACAACCACACAGGAAGGGCCTGATGGCCAGAGAGATCTGTGTACAAAAGCCCAGAGTTACAAGACAACAGCAGTGCCTGCTTAGGGACTGCCCAACAATTTAGCCTGTCTATGGCAGAGAGGGTGTTGGTGGTTTAGGTGCCATGGGAGAGCAGGAGGAGAGTTACGAGTAAGGGAAGCTGATGAGTAGTTGCAGAGGAGGGAACGTATGTGGTAAAGTGAGCAAAGCTGGAAATTTGTAGGACTATCAAATTTGTAGGGCTATCAGTGATCACATGAGAAGGGCTTTATATGCCCAGGTAGAATATATGAATTTATCTCTAAGGCAACAGATAGATTTAAGCTTGCGAGTGGCATGAATTGCATAGATTTGAGGGGTTATCAGTTAAGGAGTGACTGTCATAATGTAATTGGGGGATTGAATGTTGAGGACATAGAAGTGAGAGATGAGTGGTGAGGATAGAATACATTGTAGCGAAGGGGAAGTATTACGAGGGGCCAAGCAGGATTGGACTTTGGTCTAGAAGTTTATGGCAGGGATTATAACTCAAATGTCTTCAGAGATAAATTAGATATACAAGTCTATTCTAGTAGTGACATAGAAGAGTGGTAGAAACTGGTAAAGAGTGGGTACAGGCTTTAACTTAAAGACATTCATGCACATTATTTTTAAATACTAGGTGGTCAAAGGAAACCTCTGTGGGATATGCTCGAACTCCAGGTCATGAGTTTAATTGACAGTGATTTTACCTTTGGCTATTCGTTTTAATCATTAGCAAAGCCTGATTCAAAGTCTGCCCTCACCTCCCAAACACTAATGGCTCCAGAATGCAGTCTGCACATGGATATATTAAAAAAAACAAACACACAAAAAACTATCCACATGATTCTAAAATCCAGTCAAGGATGAGTACTACCGAAGGCAACAATGACTCCTAGTTTTTTAACTTGAATAGCTTGCGTGTATGTAATGTCAATTATTAGGATAAAAATACAGACGGATGAAGACATATTGTTCAATAGAAGTTAATACAGGCTTCAAACACAGTGAATAAAAGAAGTTCTGTTAGTTATCAATGTTAAGTCAAATGGGAGCTGTATAGAAGTGCCCAGAGACTTCTCACATTCTACTTCTTCAGTCTTTTCAAATATCAAAATTAATTAACCACCAGGGATCCTAAATTAATCAATATCTTAAAATGTGAAGAGTTTATTCAATTTAAAAATACTTGAGGAAAAGCAATGACCTACAACCACGATTACTCTTTCCTGCAAAGCTATCATTTAGAATCAATGGACATTTCAAGAGTTTCCCAGACAAGAAAAAGCTGAAGGAATTCATTACTACCAAACCAGTATTATATGAAATGTTGAAGGGTCTTCTTGAAGGTGAAGAAGAACAAAAATATGAACAATAAAGTGACAATTAATACATATCTATCAACAATTGAATCCACAAACAAAATGAGCAAGCAGAACAGAAACAGACTCATAAATACAGAGAACTTTTTGTTGCTTGCCAGATGGGTGGGGCTGGGGGAAGGGGTGAAAAAGATGAAGGAATTAAAAAGTACAAATTAGTTGTTAGACTGATGAACCTCAAAGGGAAAGGGGGAGGGAGGGTGGAATGAAATAAACCAAAGAATTTCTATGCATATATGCACAACCAATGGACACTGACAATAGCGTGGGGAAGGCAGGAGGGGGCAGAAATGGGGAGGAGGGGGTCAATGGGGAAAAAAGGAAGAAACATCTGTAATACATTCAACAATAAAGATGAGTTCTAAATAAATAAATAAATAAATAAATAAACAAACTTCAGAAGAAAAACAAATACTTGAGATATCTAGGGCATTCTCAAGTTTTTTTAATTTAAGGTGAATGCACATTAACGATGAATTTCTAATGAGTTATTTATATTTTGATATCTAAGGAAATCATAGCACTGTCTTGACCATGCATAAACTTTATCTTATTTCCAATGTGACTAAGCTCTTCTTTTCTTTTAAGACAATTGTGTACATAGTTGGTTATACCAACAAAGGGTTCCCAGGCTGTTGACTACTGGAAGAGATTGACCACCATTTATTATTATTTAACATGTGGCTCCTATTATTCCACAATGGGCGTGTATCTGATCATCTGAAATACTCATGGTTGTGGTCTCTACACTGCTGTATGCATCTCCATCTGGACACTAATTAGTTATTTCAGTTAGATAGAAATATATTCCAAAACACTTGTTTTTAAATACAAATATATTCTGCAAGATCATTTGACCTATAAAATCTTCCACTATTAACCATCATTCTAGAATAAAATCAGCATTCTTCAAGCTAATTTTGAGCAAATTACTCAAGACTCACAACTTCTCTGGTGTGGTAAAGTTATTTTGCCAGGGACCATTTGTTGAATGGCACTTTGGTAATTGAGGAAAGGTTAAATTATGATTGTAAATTTCTTCTAAGTAAATATAATGTTTCACTGTATTACTATACTAGTTCAACATAAGGTCATAAAAATACATACTATTCCAATCATAAAATAAGTTACTGCCCCTTTTATGTGGGACAAAAAGGTTAATTCAAAGATAAACATTATCTAACTTGTCAGATCTATACTTTAAAACCAAAATAAGTACTCATTGCTAGGTTAAGAATTAAAGAGTTTACTCTTTTGCTTTGTAAAACTGTTGCTTCCTTTTTTTTTCTCTAATGAAAAATATCAAACAAAATAAAAAAATGGAAAATAGTAGTAAAAGTTTTCCTGGCTTCATGAATTAGAATCATTTATGACTATAAAAGTACCTAATTTCCTATGAAAAAGAGTCTGAATTGAAACATTAACTCTTTGATACTTTAAAAATAAATTAATTTGCATATTTATATGAAATTATTTTGGAAATATATGTTCTCTGGGATTCAAATTCTGTTGTTTTCTTCATTCTAGCAGATGAGTAAATCACTTAGGTGTAAACTTCCATGCTTTCCCAATAACTTCACACTCTTAAAACCTTTTAGAATTCATATAAATCCCTTGGAGGAGGAGGAAAATAGAGACAATAGGATGTGATGTAGCTTCCATCATCACCAAAATTTTTATCTCTCCACAAAATACACCAGCTTCAGCATAATGGATCTTTTTAGACTCAGATATTTGCTTGTCTTTAACCATTACAGGCTACTATTTACTTGATATTCTTTATCTTTTCTTCGAAAAGTTCAAAATGCTTGAACAACAATTTAAATTTCTAATTATCCATCAGAGTTAACCATAACTGATATGAAATATGGCATATGTAAACATATATATATCTACATATGTAAACAGTTATAAAACCACATTTATTTTCTCATTGAACAGCTTGGGAGTTAAAAGCAGGCACTATTCTACCTGGATGAGGAAACTAAGACTTAAAATAAAATCTTGTCTGAAGCCCATTTCAATGTTGAACAGCTTGAGTTTCAGCTTATATATTCAAGTACTAATCTCTAGCCAAACTCACTGTTTTAATTATGCAAAACTCACTGGTTTAATAAACCCACTCTCTAGCCCACTGCTCAAAGTCTTTAATACCAGGATTCTAATAGAGCCAGGTCCAAACTGGAAATGGTGCCATCTGCATCCCCACATCCACCCCAGCAGCACTGCCATTAAATTAATAGTAAAGTCTGTGCAATAAAACAGCAGAGACCCCATTCATGTGCAACCAGTTGAGTTTCTGTTTAACCTCCAGCAGATAGAAGCACAAAGCCAGTTCAGTATTGGCTAGTCAATCTGTACCTAAGAGCTGTGTCCAATTTCCCTGTCCAAAGGAATTAAGAGCCAAAAAAGGAAAGGGAAAAGTAAGATTACATTAGTTCCTGAGCTACAAATATAAATAGGTTTCAACTAAGTAAGCTTCGATGTCCCTGACTGTAATAAGGATTGACTGGCCAATAGGAAATAAATTCAAACATTAGGATTAAAGATATAATGTCTGCAGAATGATTGCAGGTCTTCAAAAGAAAGTATATGAAGTGTATTTTTTAAAATGACATTTTAAATATAGATTGACATATTGGTATAATTTTAGTTAATTATTACTTCTATTATTTGAAACACTATTTTGCAACTTTGATATTTATTACAGGTAATTTTGCATTAGCCAGTTTGAGCATAATAAGCATTAGACAATATTCTATTTTTATCCTCCCCAAATTATTTACTTCTGTCTGCATCACACAATAATAATAATTATGTTTTATTTTTGCCCTGGCAAAAATAAAAATGGCCAGTTTCATCCCCCCAAATTGTCAGTTTCACCCAAACTCACATGAAACTGACAATTGAGGAAACCTGGGCATATTTAGAAATATGTTTTTTGCTTTCTATAAGTTTCTTTAAAGTTTTATGACTACATGGACTGCCCTCCCACACACACATCACAATGATGTTTATAAAATGAGCAAGACAATGCTGGTCATTCAACACTGCAGTTACTGAATTCAGTTCCCTTGAAAGGGATGGTAATCATCATGCATCACCTTCCATCTACCACTTAAGACTGTGTAAGAAAGTTGTAAGGCCTTAGCAGTATGCAGTGAGGTAATATAATGACCACATTTCTACACCAAATATTTTACAGGTATTGCATGGCATAAAACATTTAAAGTTAAGATAAATTGAACTCTGGCTTTTTATAGTACCTTATTAAAAATGTTTACTAATAAGTTAAAAAATATGTTTGTGGTACTATCTTAGTTAGTAAAAACCAGTTGTAAATAATTTAAATGTCATACATTTTGAAGTTACTTTGATTCCAATCATTAAATATTATTTATATATTGATGATTGAAGTTAAATAAGTAAAGGTACTTATTTAAACACTATCAAAAATTAAAACAAAAAATACTAAATATCAAAACTATATATATACCCTTAATAAAATAAGAATAAACACAAAATTAAACATTTACCTTTAGTTTGAATTTTCCTTTCGGGTTTCTCAGGTTTCTCCTCCTTTTCAGTTTTGTCTTTGTGTATTTCTAGAGAAAAACAGAATTTATCATTTTAAAACTCTTCTTGAAAATGTGCAAAATATAAACCATAGCTATGACTCAATATTTATAATTTCACCATAAAACCTAAAATATTATATCTACCAATCTTATAGATCTCTAAAAAGGAAGAGTTTGTAAGATATTGCTACATAAATTACTCATGTGTTGAAATAAAGAAATAAGGTTATTTGAAAAAGCTTAAAAACTTACATCAATGGAAATATGTTGTCACTGTATTCAGTGCAAAAATTAATCACAAATTATAATTATGTTTTATTTCAGTTACTCTGAATACATATTAAAAATTCTTAGTGCGAATGTCATTTAGGAAGATTTTGTTTTTACATAATAAATTAAGAATTTATGAAATGAACTATAACAACTATCTCATTTAAAACATCTCAGAGGCAGTGACTCTAAGCTATATTTATAATCAGAATTTGGTATTGCATTTAACCAATAATTACTGCAAGCATATATGACCCATTTCATAAAATGAAATAAAATTAGTTGTTAAATTTTTCTGAATATCAGGTTTTAAGAAATATATTTGATTTGCTGCTAGTTTCAGTACATATAGATTGCAAGTCTCAGAAAATGAAGTTAATTCTGAATTTGCAGTTAATTTGGATAGAAGTAAATTTGAGATTAGAGTTTACAAATATGATTACTACTTCTAAAAAGTGACTTAAGCTCTCAGCTGACTTCTCAACAGAAACACTACAGGCCAGAAGGGAAAAGCATGAGGTAATCAAGGTCATGAAAAACAAGGATCTGAATTCAAGACTACTCTACCCAGCAAAGCTATCATTCAAAATGGAAGGTCAAATAAAGAGCTTTCCAGACCAAAAAAAAAAGGCTAAGGGAATATATTAGCACCAAACCAGCACTGCAAGATATGCTAAAAGGACTGCTGCAATTAGTAGAAGAAATAGGAAGAAAAATATAATCACACTAAACAAAAATAGCAATAAATAAATATATATCAATAATCACCTTAAATGTAAATGGATTGAATGCTCCGATAAAAAGACACAGAATAATTGATTGGATAAGAAAGCATGACTTATCTATATGTTGTTTACAAGAGACCCACCTCACAACAAAAGACTCACATAGGTTGAAAGTGAAGGGATAGAAAAATATCTTCCAGGCAAATGAAAAGGGAAAAAAAAGCTGGGGTAGCAATACTCATATCTGATAAAATAGATTTCAAAATGAAGACCATAACTAAAGACAAAGAAGGTCACTACAAAATATTGAAAGGATCTATCTAACAGGAAGATATAACCTTGATAAACATATATGCAATCAATATAGGAGCACCAAAATATATTAAAAATCTTCTGGAAGACTTCAAAGGAGAAATCAACAGTAATACAATCATAGCAGGGGACTTCAACACCCCGCTGACATCACTGGATAGATCCTCTAGGCAAAAAAAATTAGCAAGGAAACAGAGACTCTAAATGAAGCACTAGACGAAATGGATTTAATAGATATCTACAGTGAATTACACCCCAAAACTACAGAATTCACATTCTTCACAAGTGCACATGGGACATTCTCAAAGATAGACCACATGTTAGGACACAAACTAAAGTTCTACAAGCTCAAGAAGATTGAAATCATATCACGCATCTCTCAGATCGTAATGACATGAAACTAGAAATTAACTGCAACAAGAACATGCAAAGACATTTGAACACATGGAAGCTAAATAGCATGTTATTAAACAATGAATGGGTCACCGAGGAGATCAAGGAAGAAATCAAAAATTTCCTGGAATCCAATGAAAATGAAGACACAACAACACAAAACCTATGGGATACAGCGAAAGCAGTTCTGAGAGGGAAGTTCATAGCACTACAGGCGTACCTCAAGAAGCAAGAAAAATCTCCAATAGACTACCTAACCTCACAACTTAAAGAACTAGAAAGCAAACAAAAAGAAAGCCCCAGAGCAAGTAGAAGGAAGGAAATAGTAAAGAAAACAGCAGAAATAAATGACATAGAGACCAAAAAAACAATTCAAAGGATCAATGAAACAAAGAGCTGTTTTTTTGAAAAGATAAACAAGATTGATGGACCCTTAGCTTGACTCACCAAGAAACAAAGAGAGAGAACCCAGATACACCAAATCAGAAATCAAAGAGGAGGAGTAACAACTGATAACACAGAAATACAGAAGATCATTAACAACTACTATGAACAATTATTTGGCAACAAATTCGACAATCTAAGTGAAATGGACAAATTTCTAGAAACACACAGTGTCCCAAAACTGGACCAGGAAGAGATAGAAAACTTGAACAGACCAATATCAACAGAAGAAATTGAAGATGTAATCAAGAATTTCCCAGCAAACAAAAGCCCAGGCCCGGATGGCTTCATGGGAGAGTTTTACCGAACATTCAAAAAAGAACTAGCCCTGGCCGGTTTGGATCAGCGGTTAGATCATCAGCCTGTGGTCCAGAGAGACCCGGGTTCGGTTCCCGCTAAGGGCATGTACCTCGGTTGCAGTTTGTCCCCGGCCCTGGTTGGGTCGTGTGGGTGGCAGCCACTCGATGTGTCCCTTTCACATCGATTTCTCTCTCTCTCTCTTCCTCCCACTCTATCTCAACAAAGTGTTGAAAAATGTCCTCTGGTGAGGATTAAAAAACAAAAACAAAAAAGAACTAACACTCATTCTCCTCAAACTATTTCAAAAAATTCAAGAAGAAGGAAGACTTCCAAACTCATTTTATGAGGCCAGCATAATTCTAAATCCAAAATCAGAAAAAGACATTACAAAGAAAGAAAACTACAGGCCAATATCCCTGATGGACATAGATTTCAAAACCCAGAACAAAATGATAGCAAATCGGATCCAGCAACACATCAAAAAAATTATTCACCATGACCAAGTGGGATTGATCCCAGGGATGCAAGGTTGGTACAATATTTGCAAATCAATAAATGTGATACACCACATGAACAAAATGAAGTATAAAAACCACATGATCATATCAATAGATGCCGAAAAAGCCTTCGACAAAATCCAGCATCCATTTCTGATAAAAACGCTCTGTAATGTGTGAATGGAGTGATCATATCTCAACATAATAAAGGCCATATATGAAAGACTTACAGCCAATATCATACTCAATGGGCAGAAACTAAAAGCATTACCCATAAGAACAGGAACAAGAAAAGGATGCCCACTTTCATCACTCTTATTTAATATAGCACTGGAAGTCTTAGCCACAGCAATCAGACAGGAAGAAAAAGTAAAAGGGATCCAAATTGGAAAAGAGGAAGTGAAACTGTCATTATTTGCAGATGACATGATACTATAGGTAGAAAACCCCAAAGACTCCATTACAAATTTATTAGACTTAATAAATGAATTTGGTAAAGTAGCAGGATACAAAATTAACGTTAAGAAATCAATGGCATTCTTATACACCAATGATGAACTCACAGAAAGAGAAACCAAGAAAACAATCCCATTATCATTGCCGCAAAAAAATTAAGATCCCTAGGAATAAACTTAACCAAAGAATCCAAAGGACCTATTCGTAGAAAACTACAGGTCATTGATAAAAGAAATAGAAGAAGATATAAAAAAGTGGAAACACATACCTTGTTCACGGATTGGAAGAATTAACATCATTAAAATGTCCATACTACCCAAAGCAATCTATAGATTCAATGCAATCCCCATCAAAATACCAATGACATAACTTCACAGAACTAGAAAAAATACTTCAAAAGTTCATATGGAACCAAAAAAGACCTTGAATAGCCACCACAATCTTGAAAAATAAGAACAAAGTAGGAGGGATTACATTACCAGATTTCAGGTTATACTACAAAGCCACAGTAATCAAAACAGCCTAATACTGGCACAAGAACAGGCATATAGACCAGTGGAGAACCCAGAAATGGACCTTAGGCAATATGCTCAATTAATATTTGACAAAGGGGCAAGAGCATACAGTGGAGTAAAGACAGCCTCTTTAATAAATGGTGTTGGGAAAATTGGACAGCTACATGCAAAAAAAAATAAATAAAACTAGACCATCAACTTACATCCTACACAAGAATAAACTCAAAATGGATAAAAGACTTAAATGTGACTCATGAATCCATAAAAATCCTAGAAGATACTGTAGGCAACAAAATTTCAGACATCATACACAGCAGAATTTTTACTGATACATCACCTAAGGCAACAAAAACAAAGGAGAAAATAAAAATATGGGACTACATCCAACTCAAAAGCTTCTGCACAACAAAAGATACAATCATCAAATTGGAAAGGCAACCCACTGTATGGGAGAGCATAATTTCCAATGATATATCAGATAAGGGTTTAATTTCCAATATATAGAGAGAGCTCATACAACTCAACAAAAGGAAAAAAAAAAAAAAAACACTTAAAAAATGGGCAGAGGTACCAAATAGACACCTCTCCAAACAGGACATACAAATGGCCAAGAGACATATGAAGAAATGCTCAACATCACTAATCATCAGAGAGATGCAAATTAAAACAATAATGAGGTATCACTTCACACCTGTCAGAATGGCTGCCATCAACAAATCATCAAACAACAAGTGTTGGCGAGGGTGTGGAGAAAAAGGGACTCTAGTACACTGCTGGTGGGAATGCAGACTGGTGCAGCTACTATGGAAAACAATATGGTATTACCTGAGAAAATTAAAAATTGAACTTCCATTTGACCCAGTGATCCCACTGCTAGGAATATTCCCTAAGAAGTCTGAAACACCAATCAGAAAGAATATCTGTACCCCCATGTTTGTAGCAGCACTATTTACAAGAGCTAAGATCTGGAAACAGCCCATATGTCCATCAGTAGACGAATGGATAAAAAAGCATTGGTACATATACACAATGGAGTACTATGCAGCTTTAAGAAAGAAAGATCTCTTATCCTTTGAGACGACCTAGAGGAACCTAGAAAGTGTCATCCTAAGCAA